ATATTGCTAAAATTAATTATTAAAATTTTATTATAAAAATTAATTTTAAAAAAATTAACGCAGACAAATTTGCCTGTGTTACAATCTAAAGGATAACTTTTTGTAAAATTTAAACTTGCTAATAATAAGGTTTTAGTTTCAAAAATATAAGAACTAGTTTATTTACTGTATATCAAAGTTTAAAAAAGAAATAAATAAAAAACCTATTTTTTTTAAAAAAAAAACTTAAGTAATTATATTAATACTTTATTAGGATTTTTTTTTTTTAAATATTAAGATAAGTACTTGTAACCCAGAATTTTATTGATAGTATATTTGGCTAATGGTTGCATTATCTTTATTAAGATTCTTGAAACAATATATAAATACAATTATATAGAACTTTTTAATAATTAAGTTTAATATCATTCAATTACTCTTATGATATCTAAATGCAACCTATTATACTATCTTAGTTAAAGATAGACTACTTGTTTAACTACTTAAAATTATATCAAAAAGAGTTTTTTTTTTCTGTAACAAACATATCAATTATTTTTCAAGTTTCTTTTTTCATCTAGTTTATCTTTTTTATTTTTTTTTTTTCATCTGTTTATGTTTCATCTTTTTTTTTCTTAACTTTACTTTTATATAAATACTTTATTTTATTCACTATATTAATCTTTTTTTCTTATTCTTGTACTCTTTTATAACAAATTCTCTATACTTGATTGTAAAAGATATTCCATACTGTTCTTATTACTATGTTTATACATTTCTATGTTGTTTATCTGTTTAAAAACTGTTTGAGCTGTAAAGAAACTATTTTGCAAATAATTATATTCACTCATTTGTTACATTATTTATATAATTAAAATCACAAAACTTTATTGGTTATTTAATAAACTTTCTTAAGTTGAGCAATTATTTTTCATACAAATATTAGTTTTTACAGCAGTCTAATTATTGTCCTTCAACTCCATTTCATGCAATGTCCGTTAAAGATAACCATTTAGATTAGGTAACACGACAGAGTTTTGCATATTTTATGCTTCGGACTCTTCTAGTATATTACAGGCCAATTATAAGGAGCATAAGAAAATAATATAAATTTTGAATTAAAATTAACTGCTTCCTATATAAACTTTAGCTTCCGCAAAGTACTGCGAGGTACAAGCTTAAAAATTAGTTTATTGCTACCTATATAAACTTAGTTCTCACAGAAAACCAAAAATATTAAATAGTAAAGCCCAAGGATAAGTTAAAATTGATTACTTCCAGATGAACTTGAGTTTCCGTAAAGGCTAATAATTGAAGAGATCTAACGCCAATAGTAATATTGATATTATTTTTTATTTCCAAAAATATGGATTCGGGTTAATCGGTTTTGAATCCGGTTCCAAACTTTATCCATAGATCTAATTCTCATCCGTTTAAAAAAATTGAGAAGTTATTACTATGCTAACTTTTTAAACGGACGAGAACTAGGTCTTATTTTTGGCCATGGAGTCCTACAACTCTAATGAAATCTATACAGCATTTTTTATTTCATTATGATTTAGTTTTCGTTTTTTAAAAAAAGTACTCTAAACTGTATAAATAATGTAAATTTAAATTGAATTTATTAGCCAATCAGACAAACTTCTGCATATGAGTTTTTGGGTTTTATTCCCGATTAATAAAAGTAATTAAAATTGTCATTTTTTTACCCAAGAACTTAGAATGTATCATCCACCACGAGGCGGCGTTAGAGGCGGACGGGTAAATCATGCAAGAGTTTTGTTAGTCTGATTTTTTTAAATTTAGTCAATACTGTTTTTTAATATTATTTATGATTTTGCTGAATTATAAGGATCAATTTAACTGTAAGATTAATTTCGGCAATATTTTATATTTTTAACGTACGAATAGAATTAGTTAACCGATTTATCTCTGGCCCAATTTTGGACCAGAGGTAGAACAAATTCGGTTCATATAACTAACTGTATTATTTAATTATAGGGGAGTAAGTCATAGTGTAACTTGTCGATTTTTAAGTGTATTATATCTCGGAAAAATATGAAGCCAAGATTTTTTTTTTAATAATTCAGGGATGTTAAAACTGACAAGCATAGAGAAAATTATTTAGGACATTCACTTTTTGCGCCAGTAGGAAGGTAAAAATATTATTCAATTCAATCTTTACGAATTTAATTCGGATTTGCTTATTTTATTTTATTTTTCATTTTTTATTATATAGATGGCAAAAAGGTAACAATTATAAATCTAAAACATCTTTACATCAATTTAAAATGTGAACTAATTGTTTATTATTTTAGGCAAGGATCTCACATGGTATTCCAAGGATGGGAAGAGTGAGCAAGCATATATTGATGAAATAAATGCAATTAAAGATGCTGAGGCGGATGTTATGGCCGAATTATTGTAAAGAACAGATTTGTTAAATGTATTCTGTATTGTTCTATATATTCGAATTAATTCAAGTTAATTGTAATTTGTTAGAGGTGCTGGTAAAAGGAAAAAGGTTACGGGAAATGTTACTCAGCAAGAATTAAGTAATGTTCTTAAAAGAGAACAAGAGGAGGATGATGATGACGATGAAATTCTCAAGGAGGCAACTAAAGATGCTACAAAAGGGTTGGGATTTAAGAGGTGAGTTAAGTTATCTCTATAACTCCGGGTGTTATATCTTTATTTAAATTTTGTTTTTAATATTTAAGTTTCGGTCGACTACATATTGATGAAATGATACCGGGCGATCCTGAGGCAATCGAGAATGGGAGTGTGCTGAAAAATGATGAGCAAATAATACAAAGTGATAAAGACTATTCTATAAGTACATCTGCAGTAAAATCTGATAATATTACTAGTATATCAGCTGTTTCTAAAAAGCAGAAAAAGGAAAAAAAAAAGAAGAGAAAAAAACATAAAAAAGATTCTAGATCACCCTCCCCTGTTCGAAAGCGATATCGAGATTCTAGATCACCCTCCCCTGTTCGAAAGCGATATCGAGATTCTAGGTCACCCTCCCCTGTTCGAAAGCGATATCGAGATTCTAGATCACCTCCTGTTCGAAAGCGATATCGAGTTTCTAAATCACCCTCCCCTGTTCGAAAGCGATTTCGAGATCCTAGATCACCCTCCCCTGTTCGAAAGCGATTTCGAGATTCTAGATCAGAAAAAATTGTAAAGGATAAAAAAGAAACAAAAAAATAAAGTAACAAAAAATTTGCATTTAAATCTTGACAATATATTATAAATGATAAGATGTAATTTGCATTATTATTTTTACAATGTCAAATTTAGAACCACTTAGGTTACTTTAGATTTGTCAACTTGTGGAAGTTTTATTTTTACCTAAGTAGATTCTAAGTTTACAATAATTCCATTAAGACGTACATGTATAAATAAATTACTCTAAAAATAATCTTATGATGCATGAATGTATAAATGAACCAATTTGAAAGATACAATAATAAAATATACTTTATACTTAAAGAAAATTGTTTTAAGATGTTTTAAGGTTAGGGTGCAATTTGAGATCGATAGGGGTTAGACATAAAGGCTTCTAATTTAGATTACACAAGGTTTTGGGGTGTTCTGAACATTTTTTATATCTGATCCTGTTTCTTAGTCCCGTTTTTGAGATATTGACCTCAGGTAATTTTCTTTCAGTTAAGACATTTCTCATTTAAATTTATATAATATTTGTTATACGTATAATTTATTCAAGATTGTAAGTACGTATACAACTAGTAATAAAACGGCGACGTTTTATAGGGCTGGAGCCTTATGTATTAGATTCTGGTAGTTGCTCACTTTCCCGAAGCCCATTTTTCTAACATACCGCTTTACCGAAGTCGTAATACCGACAATCCATTTTACTAACAGAATAGGTTTAGAATTAAAGTTGCGAAATGATCTGTGAAATAATTGGTAATGAAATAAACTTATCGGTTAATTGATTTTCATTGACCTATTTTTGTCTTTCTAGTAAAATAGATTTTCGGTATTATGACTTCAGTGAAATGGTATTTCAGAAAAATGTATTTCGGGAAGTTAAACCGGAACCTTAGATTCTGTAGCTTATCTAACATCATCATTATAATAAAAAATAAAATCCAATTCATTAATATAAAAGTAGTATGTGATGATTTAAGCAACAATTCTATATGTTTACATTAATTAATATACATGTGAACAGACATAAATAATTCATAGAATCATAAAGAAAGCAATCTCTGTTCTTCAGCTAATCTTTGTTATAAATGTGTACTTTTCTCTAATTTTTATAATCTATTAAATGTAAAAGTACTACTGAAAAGAAGATTAGTAAGAACACAAATCCTTAATATTACAACAAATATAAGACCTATAGCAAATTACTTGTCACCAATATCAATTACAGTTTGTAATAATATTAAGTCTTGTGATTTATGAATCGTAATTGCTCAGGCAAGACATAAAGGAAATTGGATGTGAGAACAAGTTATTAAGTTTTCTTTTCAAGATATTTAATTAGATGAATTGGTATCATTCATAAACTATTTGGTACAGACAAAATTGAACTTGTATAATTGTTCATATTAAGTAGAATTAATGTAGGCAATGAAGGTGGTTTCTTTTCAAGTTCATATACAATATCAACAATTATACCCATGGTGTTATTAACTAATTCTTGATTTGTTCAAAAATTAGAGATAAGCATCATACAAGCTTTAACTAATAGGAGTAAAACTGGTTTAAGACTATTTGTTAGATCAGAAGGTGCTTTTTTAGAATTTGAACCAGTATATTCAGCTTTTATTTTAATAACAGATAAATTAAATTGTTATAGTTTTATTGTATTTTATTTATAAACTTTTTCTTATTTAGTAAATAATCTGAATACATATTCGAATATGGTTTTTTTTATTAAAAGTAATAATGAATAAATTCTATTGTTAAGAAATTGCTAATCATCTTTTGTTAGTTGTTTATTATGTAAGCATAAAAGAAGATTACTAAATATGTGTTACTCTTTAATATCATCAATTTGTTATTATATTATTTTTAATTTAAATGCTTTATTAAATTGAGTATATATTATACAATCTGCTTTTGAAAGAAAATTATTTTGTTAAGAATCTAATGCATATATAGAAAGGTCTAAAACTGGTAGTAACTAACTAAAATTATTAAAAAATAGCATAGAACAATCTTTAAATAACATTTTATTTTGTAAAAAAGTCTGATATAAACATTGATCTATTATTACAAGAAGTCTATGATCAATCATACTTTTTTTGTTAAAAATAATAACTTTAACATCTTTCAATTTTTGTTAAAGCTTTTTTAAAGATTTAGGTTTAAGTTTTAAATTTTTAAAATTCATAAGTAGAAAAAATATTGAATAAATAGTGCAATTATTTATATTAAATATTGCAATATTAGTTAAAGCAAGAATTAATATTGATAGTTCTTTACATAGATCAATTTGATATTCTTATACTATTTCAAATATATAATTACAAATAGCTTTAATAATATAAAATTTGTTTATATCAGCTGTACCTATGACAATAGTACACAAAGGTTTAATTAATTAATCAGTTAGATTTGTTAAACTATACAATAATATAAAATCACATAATTATAAATTTAATTTTGTTTTTTATTTAATGTAATAGAATCAATAAAAGCTTTATTACTATTATAATAAAGTATATTTTTAATTTGATGATATTTAGTTTGTTCTAAAAAATTTCTGTTTCATTAAAATTAGAAAATGCCTTATATAATTCTGTCTATATGTGATTAATATTTATAAAACATTCTTTAAAATTATTATTTATACCTTGTAGCTATTTGTATTTTTAGGTTTTAGAATATATTACAACCTTTTTATTCAAATTTTTCATATTTATCATTATTACTTTCTAAGTTTTTTTATTATCTATTAGTTTATTAAAAAGATTATCTTCATCAAGTTTAATTTTAGTAGAAAATTGATTATACAAATTAATTCAGTTAATATTAATATTTTGGAAAAAATTAGATATATTTTAATGAAAGATGTAAAGAAAAACTTTTAATTTGCAATAATCATTCTATAATAATTCAATGCAAACTGATAATAAGTATAACCAAATTTGAATAATACAATGTTTTTTTCATGAAGTCTATTTATTTGTAAAAGAACTATATATATAATTTTTATTTAAGTTAAATAAAAAATACTTTTTAAAAACAGAAAAGTGTTTTTAATAAATTTATAAATAGAGAAGTTCTGTTTTAATTGATGAATTATTATTATTATTATAATTATATATATTATTATTATAAGTTAGTTTATATAATATATTATTTTTATTAAAATTAAGATTAAAAAATATATAAGATGATATAATTAATAATAACTTAAAAAGAAAATGCAATGTTTCTTGGTCAGAAAAACTATGTTCAAATACTGTATACATTAAAAGTTTTTGAATTAACTTTAAAGTTTTATTATCAGACTTTGCACTATCAAGATAATCAAAGAATATCTTATTAAATAATTTTAACATTTTTTATTAATCATATGGGATCTTTGCTAGCAAAATGACCCTACGAGCTATTGTTACACAGAATTTTTATTAAAAAAATCATAGTAAATCTATTTTTAGAAAAAAATTTTGCTAGCAAAGATCCCATATACTGTATATGATCAGTGATATCTATATGTATTTGAAAATCTGTATAATTCTCTTAGAATTAAAAAATTATCTAATTTCTTATAATTTTATATTACATAATGTTTTGCAGAGATCACACTTTTTTGCAAAATGCAATAATTAAATTTCTATAAAAATATAATAAAAATCAAAATAAAATTATAAAAATTAATTAAGAAAATGCAATTGCATCCAAAATCTTATAGATTTATCATAATTTTGATTTAAAGATATTAAGTAGTTAAAATTTAATTATATTGACTTAGTTTAGAACTTAAGCTATTATTATTAGAGTTAAATCCAGTTTAACTAGCTAGTTTATCAAGTTTGTTAATATATAAATTAGTCTGTTCTGTTATTAAACTTCAAGTCTAATTTTAAATTTTATATTAGAATCAAAAAACAATATAAATAAAAAGCTTTGAAGATATATGCAAATTGGTGGAATTAAACCCTACTTTGACATATTGTTTTTGTTAATTTTGTACTATTTTTAAAGTGTAATTCATGTAACTTTTTTATAAGACTTTTGCAAATAATTAATAAAAAAATAGAAGTTGTCTTTTAATTATAAGTTTACTTTTTCACAAAATTTAATATCTATTTATTTGATTTTTTGTCTTTAAGATATGTAGTTCAAGTTCAAACATATAATTTTTGATTAGAACAGTATATAAAATATTTTGCAGCAACCAAATGCCAAATGAATCTGATTCTCTATATTTCATATATTTATCTATATTATTAGAATTATACTAGATTATAATAATAATTTTAATAAAAATTATTACTACAGATAAAGCATCTATATAAAAATATAATTCAATAAATTATTATAATTTGATAATTTATATAAATAACTAGTTATAATAACTAGTTTGTTTTTTTTTAATTGTGATACAGTGCACAAAATTTTATTGTAAAATATCAGATTCTTTTGCTTGTTTAGAATTTAACATATAATTATTATTATTATTACTTCTATAAAATATTGATAAAAAATATCTAAATAATTTTTTTTTTTTTTTTTTAAATATTAAGGTGAGTACTTGCAACCCAGGATTTTATTGATAGTATATTTGGCTAAT